TGCTACAGAATTAAACTCTCCTCACTCTTGCAGTAAACCTACCTCCCTAATCATATAATATATTTTTATGGTGATATGGCCTTTTACTTTTTCATTTCCCTCCTTCTATCTTTCTCCTTCCCTTTCCCCCCTTTTATTTATTCACAAAGATTTGAATACCTACTAAGTATCGGAATATTACTAGTATCTGGGTATACAGAGGTAAGCATGGGCTTTAAAGAACAAATTCAATTATAATAAAATAACCTTGGATATAAATATGGTGTCACTAATGTTCACTATATTCTTTGTTTTTTATAGCAATACACTTAGATTATTCTGTAATTTTTTAAAGTTTCAGCATTTGCGTACTTCCTAAGTCCTTTTCCTTATCCACAGTTATTCTGTAGACTTTAGTAATAAAGTCAAATTATAATTTCTATATGTTTATCCGTTAAACTAGCATCAAAGTTATAACTACATTGACAAATTTCCCCAAGCATATTATATGTAAACGCAGGGAGGATGTAGCTCTCTCAGCATTGCCAGTGGGCAGTTTCTAAGGAAAAGACATCATTTATCTTACTGGGGCAGCCCAGACATTTTCAGGACACAGTCTAAAATCCCCTTGTGTGCAGGAAATGGAGAGGCAAAAGATCACCAAAATAATTTTTATTAGAATTCTCATCGAAAGAATACAGAAAACCAGTGAAAATGAGTATAGGTCAAAAGTCGATATTAAAACAGTTCAAGGAAAAGAAAAGAAAAAAAAAATATATATATATATACAGAAAACATTAAAAGTGTCCATCAGTCAATCATCAACATTAAAATAGTTCAAGTAAAAATAAAAAAAACTATTAATCCAATTGAGCTTTTTAAGCCACATATAGAAAGGAGGTGCAACTAGACATTGTTGAAGAAATCTCTCTCACAGATGCCATTTTTACACTAATATCTGAAGGAGGAGGAAGACATGAGAGGAAGAGAGAAGGGAATGGGAGAGAGAGGAGAGCATGAGAGAAAAACTAATATTTAATGAGTTTTTAAAAAGATGCTAAATAATTTGTAAGGTACTATACACATTAGTTTATTTAATCTTTACAGCGACTTCACAAGGTGTATTACTTCTCCCCATTTTAAAGATAAAGAGGCTCACAGAGTTTACATGACTTGCCCTAGGTCACAGAGTGGAAGTGACGGAGGTTAGAACCAACACCACTCAAAAACCCTCCTCCTTTGCCCTGACGTCAGGAGTATCTTGACTGTACTACACCCGTGAGTGGGAAACAACTCTTAGTGGATTAATGGATCCAAGGCGGTATTGATTTAGCCTTCCAATGTATACCTTTGCTGGAGCTTGGGAGTAGAGCAATCTGGACCACACTTCCAAGAGGGCAAGTCTGATTTGACAATTTCTTCTTTTGTTTCAGAAGAAAAACCACAACAGGAGAAAGAAGACATAGGAGGACTGAATGCTGCCTACCAGGCTATTAATAGTTTTCCTAGAGCATGTTCATTAATAGGAGATGGAGAAAAATGTATGATAAACAGAAATGTGCAAACTCAAATGTGCATGTAAATCAATGATTATGAAGATGAATCAACTCTTGTAGCCTAAATTCCTTAGCTGTCAAAATCTAAGGATAACGAAACTCAAAGAAACACCAAGCATGTAGCCACGCTATACACTAAATCATTTCTCCATCACATTCACAGCTCCAAAGGCTAACATTTTCTATACTGATGGCCCCTTCTTAGTTGATGATTTTTCACAATGTATTTCATGGCTTCCATCCCTACATGAGACTTTATTACTATCACATAGGAATAAAAAGCCATAAAGCACTAGAGTGAATTTATCTTGGTCGGATGCAAAACTTATTTTCTTCACGACTTCACAACCATTTCAAAGCTAACCAATCATTTCATGCTACATTAAAGAACATTTTAAACTACACATAAGTGACAGGAAGCACACTTAAATTGTGACATCACAAATTAACACAATTTTATCCTTCAACGACATTCTTAGCTACAAGGACCAGGAAACAAGACCAGGAGACACTCAGCAACACTCAACCGTTGAATTCACCAAAAACAAAAGACACTGGGGAGAATTCCTGGAGAAAAGCTCATCACTTTGACATTGGACTTGGAAACACATGAGGAAAGACAGAAGACACACAAATCGCTGATACAAACTGAAACCAGGGGATTTATTTCAAGCCTCTTGCTTCAACTTCTTTCCCAGGAAGCTTTCTTACATGCCTACAACCAGCTTTCAGACTTTTCATTTTGGATCAGGTGGGGAAGCGGGATCTTAGCATCTGCTTACACTAAGTCAGCATTAAGCCTTCCATATCCTAATAACAGAGAGAGAGAAAGAGAGAGAGAGAGAGAGAGAGAGAGAGAGAGAGAGAGAGAGAGAGAGAGAGAGAGAGAATGAGAGAGAGAGACAGAGACAGAGAGAGACAGAGGCAGAGACCCTACAGCATGCTAAGGGAGCACAACTGCTAACCGCTCACCTGTAGACCTTCATGGAGGCTGATACCATCTCCCACCCCCATTATGGAAGAAAATATCTAACTGAAAGAGTACTTGTTTACTAAATCCCACAGTGATCTAAATAACTCAGGTCAAGAGCCCAAGGACATTCTTTATGCTGTATTAAAGTGACATTATTCATGGAATTATTAATACACCTATAAGTGGCCACACCAAAACTCAATTCTCCAGGACCACTGAAAACACAATGCCATAAGTTCCCATGGATATCTGGATTTCAAAGATAAACTTGCAGTGCCAATTGACCAGCTTTTGAAACAGTGCCCCACACTACTGAACAATGCCCTCTGCTTTAAAAAAAATCTATATCATATTATGAAAATTCAAATAAAAGAAACAAGAACTTGAGTTTCTCATTAAGAGTAAGGTCTAGGCAAGCTATTTTCACCTAGAGGTTACTATAGTGAACTCTTGGTTTATATGAACCACAGGGAGAAGACTGGAAATAGTTAAATGAAAGGAAGTGCATACATAAATTCAATTACCATGCATGAAACATGCAAATGATTTAAGCACTGCATCTGAAACTCTATTTGATATTCATTAATCTCAGGTTGCACTTTTGAAGGAGAAAGACATGCTAATTGGGTCCAGATTAATGCACTCCCAAACCTCTCCAATTTGTTTTTAGGTGAGGGTTAAATGATATGTATTAAAATAAACACAGCTGCTCCTCTGCCTCTGTCTTCCACCTCCCTCACTCCACCTCTACATCCACTCCCAGCTGCCACACCTCCCTTGCCTCGCTCCACTACCAGCTGGCTCACCTCCTCCACCACGGCCTGCCTCAGCTGGCTCGCCTCCCCTAACACACCTCTCCATCCTTTAGAGAAGGAATTAAAGAGCCCTAACATGTTTCTTTTGCAAATACATTGGAAGAAAAACCTTGTCTCTTAGCCTTTTCAATACTTTCTCTTTCCCCACAAGCCAGCAACCTCCAGAAAGAGAATCAGGCACATATCAAATCCTAATGATGCCTAACTGTGGCATCGAGGATGTGAATCCATGGGCGTTTCCATGGACAGCAGGTTCTTCCTACAAGTTTGGGCCTGAGTCCTTTGACCAATACGTACTGAAGGGTAGTTTCAGAGTCTTGGCACATGCCTTGCTTGAGGCCAAAGTTGCTGCAGGTTGGCATGGCGATCTTTTGACTCAGTTATGTGGAAAACTAGAGAACTGAGAGAAAACCTTGGGCTTTGGGTTGCTGTTCTTCCTCTGTGGCTCATTCAGACAGCAGAAACTGGCATAAGGCATAGAGCACTCAAAAGGTCTTTTGAAAGGATCATCTTGCTTTCCCTGTCCCTCCTCCCTGGTGAAATTATCCTTAAGAGAAGATTGTCTCTCTCTCTCTCTCTCTCTCTCTCTCTCTCTCTCTCTCTCTCTCTCTCTCTCTCTCTCTCTCTCTCTCTCTCTCTCTCTCTCTCTCTCTCTCTCTCTCTCTCTCTCTCTCTCTCTCTCTCTCTCTCTCTCTCTCTCTCTCTCTCTCTCTCTCTCTCTCTCTCTCTCTCTCTCTCTCTCTCTCTCTCTCTCTCTCTCTCTCTCTCTCTCTCTCTCTCTTTCTTTCTCTCTCTCCCCTTTCCTTCCTTCCTTCCTTCCTTCTCTCTTTCCTTCCTTTCCTTTCCTGTCCTTTCTTTTCCCTTCTTTTCTTTTCATTTCAGACAGTAGTTTGGAACACAATGAAATATCATGTATTAGGGAGAATCTTATCTTGTGAATAATGAAGCTTTCAAAATAGTAAAATATTCCATATTCTTTTCTTGGTTTCTTGGACCTTATCTTTAGAAAAACAAACCAAAGAAGAACTATGGGCTGCTGGGAACGGACTCAGGCACAGAGGCAGGATGGAAGGGATCTTCTCTGTAAGAGCAGCCATTAAGGAGTTAAACCAGGCATGCGTGTGCGCATGTACGTGCACATACACACTAAAAAAAAAAAAAAAAAGAGGGCTTCAAACTAATTTCACACTGCAAGTGATGTTTAATTTGAATCACACTCTTCCTAAAGAGAAAAGGTTAGTCTCATCACTGGGCTTGAATCTTCCTCTCCCTTTGCCTTTCATACGAACTGAAAATTCAAATTGACCATTAATCTTGATGTGACACATTCCTTTTTTCCTGGTCCAAAAATCAAATGAAAGCTGGGACCACATCTGAGAACCCATTGGCTGGCCAATCCTCCCAACCTACATGCACAACAGAGAGAAGACAAGAACAAGGGCACATACGTACACAGAGACAGAAATTACCGGGTGTGCACTCAACAATGATACACACAAATACATACAGCTATTAACAGTCATTGGCTCAGAGAGCCTCTCCGCCTAAATTGAATTTTGCATATTTGCAAATGTAAAATTAGTCATAGTAAATAACAACAAGGATGAGACTGATATCAAATCTGTCATCCTGACAGATGCTCTGAGCACTCTTTAGTTAGGAAAGACACTTAGGATAGTCATCGCTCCTAAAAGAGAAAATGATTATACGCTAGCCAAACCCTAAGTACAAGCTAAAGATATTCACCTCATGGAGCCATTCTTCAACTAGCCCCTTGGCACTTGCTGGAATTATTCGCAGCACGAGCTCTACTTTCTCATTTTCTGCTGACTCCATGTGGGTAATTTCTTTCTCATGATTAAAAGTGAGCTTGGCAGATCCTTCAAAGCATGGCTTTAGGTGTGGTGAGGTTCTGAGTGCATCCTTTGTCTAAGGCAGGTTGAGAGTAATTCATCGGTGGACGGGCAGGCCAGGGGAATATTCGCGCACCTAAAATGATTTTTTAAAAGGCAACCTTTATAGATATCTTTATATAAACATATTTTTATACTGAAACATGCAGCTGACAGATGAAATGAACTGTTTACCTTGGAAAAGAATAGGCAAGCTTTTCTCTTCCAAATAATCACTCCGGCCTTTCTGAATGTCATCCAAAAGCGATTCTGCCTCCTTCGACTTATCCAGCATCTGAGGCTGTGAGATAACCCTCGTAGCACTGGCCTCCTTCCCCGGCCCCTTCATTATTAGCCTCCTGGTGGGTGAGATAGAATACAGTGAATGTAATAACCCTACTCCACACAACAGGCTCGCTCTCTCTTTTAAATTGAAAATCCCCTTATTACAAAACAAGGGGTGTTCTTTTTCTTCTACCTTTAAGTAGGACTGCCACATTCATTGCTTTTTACAAAAACGCAGCTGCTTTTTAAGCTACAGATAAATAGAATCTGCTAGGCGGTAATTCGACTCAGTCTGAATGCATTATTTTCTAAGACACTTTGGCGAAAGGCTTTTTATTATAAACTGGAATGAACAAGGAAAGTCCTTTTCTCTTCTAATTATGAATGGGTTTTGTTCCCTACTATTAACCTACAATGTCAGATTCATCTTCTTCTTTTTCTGCAGCCAGTTCAATAAATCAACATTTTTTTTTTTTCCTGGAAAATCAGAGGGCTGATGATTAAGTCTTCATGAACTCCGATGACAAAAATAAAAATAGCACAAGGGAGAAGCAAATACAAATACACACAATGAAGTGGCCCTCTGATGTCCAAGGTAATGAATCCTGTTTTGACACTGAAAGTTAAGATAAAAGGGATTTACTTGTTCATTTCATTGTAATTAACTCAATTTTAATAAAATTAAATCTTCCCAGGCATGTTCATAAAATTGATTATATTTTATTTATTTACCTAAAAAGGAAGAAGATATAATGAAACTAACATGTCTACAGGGAGTGCACAAAACTATTGTGTTTGTTTACTTGTTCATTACGTGTAATAGCTGTCAATTCTATCAGTCATCCCCTCACCTCTCCATGAAAAGCAATGAAGAATTAAAACAGAAGGGACACATTATGAGAACGAATATTCAATTTGAATTTTTGCTGACATCGCTTTAACTCCAAAGATGAACAATGAGAAAAATGGTGAGTTCCTAATACTATCAAAGGCAGTCTAGAAACCCCATTAACTTAGGTATTGCTGTAATTTTGATCCCAATGTTGATATTTCTGACTATAACATTACAACAGACCACGGTGGCTCTGCTCTGTCAATATGGATATACCGCCTTGTCAAGGGTAGGAAATCCCACAGGGTATCAGTGGGGTTCCAATTAAGGAAAAAAAGCACTGCTGCACCCCTGACAATACGTGGAGATTGCCAGTATATCACAGAAGCACAGGCAGGTGCCCACTGCAAAACCTACAGATTTAAAGCCGATGCTGTCATTTCCTTTCCTTCTTCAGCCGTAATAGAAAGCAAAGTGTTGAAGATGAACTGTGTGTGGCAGATAGTTTCAGAGCAATTTATTCTTGTTTGTTTATGTTGTTTTGGGTTTATTTCCAATAAGGGTGATAGTGGAAATTGAAGGGGCCTTGTGCAAAACCTAAAGGTAGAACTGTATACTGAGATCACATGCACATTCAAGAGACCACAGGTTGGAGGGAGGAGGCAGCTTAAACTTCTATTTGCATCTAAAGTCATGATGCCTTTCTTGTGGAGTTCTGTTTGAAATTTTTAAAAGGCGAATATTTATTACAAGTGAGAGGCTTCCAAATTTCTAGAACCCCACTCTAGAAAGAGACACATTTGCAGTGAATGGTGGTGACAGGGTTTTTGAGATTCTACCACTCTGCTTGGATTTGAATCAATTTTCTGTCTTCTGATGTGTATGGGAACAAATGAGGCCCCCCAGGTTGCTGGCCTTGCCAGAGACTATGTGATGCTGTGGCAACACGAGAAGCCCAGTTTACCTAGAATAAACAACCAAGCTCTTCACTGATAAACAGATTGAAGGAAATTAGGCATCGCTATAAAAGTAAAAATCGAATCCTCATGCATCAATATCTCCATTGAGCTAAGGCCTCAATAACAAGCCTTCTTTGGCAATCAAGAATGTTTATTTTTGTAATATTGATATGTGAGGCAAATAGAAGAAGAAAAAATATTTTAGTTGTATACTTGAAGGAATTTAATTTCCTAGATATCCTGATGTAGAATCATTATGTTTATAGAAATAGGTTTTACCGGGCTACGCACAAAAATACCTTTGAATACCTGCTTTCCCTAATCCATCTTTTACCCTGGTAAATCATTAACAAAGATGAAATATAGTACACAATCTACTGCCACCTGTATTATTATTTTAAGGTAATCAAAATTACCTCATGTAATGGTAATATAAGCCACTAGCCAGAACCCTTAGCCCTCATTAAACTTTCAAAATAATTAAATAAGTAGCTTTACTGAAAGAAACTCTATGATGATGGAGAGAAGAATGGCCATCCCGCTGAAGACACAGTGGGATAGTGCTTTAAGAACCTGGCCTCAATTCATCCTATCTTTGAGAGAAGAAAAAGAAAGAGAAAGAGAAGCCAAGTAAGAAGAAAGGAAGAGGAGGAGAAAGAAGAGAAGGAAACGTCCAAAACCCATTGAGTACAACAAATAGTATTATTGTCTTCCTTTCCTTGTAAAAATAATTTGCTTCCCACCATGTTTCTGTCACTTACAAGCAAACTTGGTTTTAAGCATTCTAAGCCTCTCTCTCTGCCCCTGTAAACTGAGGAGAGTTATGCCGGTCTTATCAGGCTCCTATGAAGATTAAGTCAGGTTACTGTGAGTTATGTGTGATAAACTGGTAAGTAGCAGTTATATCTACTATTAATATTCACGGAACAACTATTAATATTCACGGCACTAATAATCAGGCTTCTCATTCCCCTTGTGCTTCTCTACCTGGAAATTCCTGGTTGGCTCCCCAACCATCCCCCAAACTCTAAGAACACATGGCAACACAAAATAACTCTTTACAAAGGGGCCCCTGCCCTGCCTCATTCCTTTCTTTCATCAGATTTAAATCACTTTATACTTGCAATGGAAGGGCTGGACATTAATTTTGTTTTACCTCCAGGTCCTAAAGGGCAGGAAAGATGATATAGCTCAGAAGTGGGAAAGAAGAGGCACTAAATGTGTAATAATCAGGGCCAGTTGGATAAGCCACTCTCTGTTTTGAAAGGGCCGATAAGTAGAGCCAAGTTTCCAATTTACTAAGAGATAACATCCCAAGGGAGGATCTGGAATCCATCGGGTTTTTGAGTTGTTGCCTTCCGATCCCAAGTTCAAGTTAGCTCGCACACCTCACATATGTTTATGCACATTCATGCAGACATACACACGTCCGCATTAACAAACAACCTATCAGTTGTATCGTAGCTCCATGCAAAGGCTCTAGTTGCCTCACCTGAACATCTTTACTCTTGCCCAGCTGGTGAGAAAAACACTACGCTGCATTGCAAATATTGGGGAAATCCGATGATGCGAAACTGCCAAAACGCCTCAACTCTACTCACACCAGCAAACTAGACTTCGCTGGTAAGGAGACATCACTGGGGTTGTGACTCTATGGTCAAGATGAATTGAATTTCAAATGACAAAATAGCTACTTCTCAAAACACTGAGGTTGGTGAATTTCATGGATGACAGCCCGCTGGTATGGAGGACCAACTGTACTCAGTTTCCTTTAAGAAAAAAAATACACCGCAGCGAATTAAAAATGTCTATTCTTCATCCTCCTCCTTCTAAACCTATTTTCTAAATCAGGTTGTTTGAAATGATCTCATTTTTATAAAGCCAAATATTTTGTGATGACCAAACTTGACAATTGTTGTACAAGCAAATACAGACTTTTAGAAGGGCGACTTCAAAAAGATTTTCCCCTCCTGGTGGCTGTTTGCCCATGAGCAGAGAGGCTTAGGAAAGAGGCTCCAAGCTCCACAGACCACAGGGACGTTCAGCCAAGATTATAATTCACGCCCCAGAGGGT